AAAATGCAATGGCTATTTTAAAACTGATTAACAAATACGCATTATTATACTATTTGTCAAATGAAAGTGCATTTTCTAGATATTTCATAATTCCTTTAATGTTTTTTCTCTTACAAACAGGTGAATCCTCATTTGCCGCCAGTCCAATTCCTGCCATCCCGGAATTTTCATTGAGTCCACGTCCTGTCCTCTCATCCCCTAAACGATCTGAGGACGCACATGCTTTCTCCTCCAGTATTGTCTGGCCTTCGGTCTCTCTTTCTTCCACTGATCCCACTACAGTAATACATTCCAGCGATGCAGCGAAAACAGAAGGTATAGGCAAAATTGGACTTGCGTCATCTGCTTTGCTCCCAAAACCTGGCCGATTTCCATCTGCACAGACTGCTATGCTAGCTCCATCACAAACTAAGCAGACATTGTCTGCCGCCGCCGCCCTACTCGAACCAGTTGGAGAGCCATGGTACTTGGGCCAGCTGAGCCGGGCTCAGGCGGAAGCGCTACTTCGGCAAGATGGCGACTTTCTGGTGCGGGCAAGTGGACAACAAGTCAACCAGTTTGTGCTGAGTGGGATGCAGGATGGCCGATGCAAGCACCTCCTTTTGGTCAATCCTGAGAACCAAGTGAGTAGGCCAGTTGGCGGGAAATTATTACAGTTCTTATTTGAGCGTACCCTTTTAGGCGTTCTTTTTATCCTTTTTCAATAAGTAGAAGTCAATGATACAAGCATTTGGCGTGAAACTAATCGGAGCATCGTTTTCTAAATAGTAACTATTGCGACGAGGGCTCGTATGAATGCAAACCCTTCTGGTGATCTTATTTGATGGGTGCATGTGCCTGATTGATTTCATGCTGATTTGATTTTCGAGCTGGCATGTCCATAGAATAAATAATTACTCTTATGAACATCAATTCTGCAGTGCAGTTGTCCTAATAGTCTTTTAGTGTAATTTGATGTCTCGTTTATATCATTTGATGAAATAGTGGTTATCCTGTGCTAGAAGGCTCAATGTGGGAATCTAGATAATGGAATATTTGCTTGGGACGGCGATGTTAAGAAATAGCTAGAACGGGATACAAGATCGTTTTGTGTTGATTTTACAGTTCGAAGGAATTGAATGGTTCAAAAAGTTTATAAAACATCAGTTATGTAAATT